TAAAGTCTGCTCACAGAAGTGTAACATGTTGCAAAGAAAGTCTCAAAGAAGTAAGGTTGACTAAGGTTTGTTTCTGAGCTAAATTCAAAGTGCTGATTTTCATCTATAAAGCCCTACAGCCTTTGGGGCTCGGCTGTCAGAAATACTATTTTCTCCCATAGGTATATGTCTGCAGTTTGAGATCTTACAGGTTTGGTGGCTGAGTAAATGAGATCAGATTTTAGGTAGCAGCACCCAGTTGCAGAATTCATTCACCAAGCCAAGTTTATCACTTTACAAAGCAGTGATTTTATAAATATTTCAAATAAACCTCATATCAGTAACCACTGAGCATTTTTCAGTTGACTTGTTCTCAATGTGGAGACGGTTGGCCATGTTCTTTTCTATTGCTCCTTCTACACTGGTTTCCGTGACACTTTTGTTCGTCCAATTTTGCAAAGCATCCCTGGAAGAGAGGATGAGTACTATACAGGTTATCTGCTGGCAGAGGAGTGTCCATCAGTAACTATTAAAGTGGCCAGCTTCTGGGCAGCAGCACTAGTCTGCAGGCGAGAAATGGTCCCTTAATCCTCTAGATATGTACATGTATGGATGCATATGTGAATATGTACGCATTGGCGGTGGGGTTATGCTTCTAACAATTATCTATGGAATTTGTTTTCCCTGGGAGTCTGTCGCATATAATGTATATTGTAGTTGTGTTGATTCTGTTTATTCTTGTGCGGTTGTTCTGTGTTATTCACATCTGATCTGTTGATTGTACAAATAAAATTGCGTCCTTCCTGTGATATCTGAAATCAAGTGTAAATTCTTAAGAGGCGGGTAAGAAATGATGCTTTCAGGAGAAATGCTTGCCTCTGAGAAAATGAGAGAAGAAGCTTGAGTTTCCTTCAAACGTTGCTGTATCTCCTGCATCCACTTTTCTTTCCTATCTCCCCTGGCTTGTGCATCCCCCTTTGCAAACTGATATCTCTATTCCTAATCCACATAAGAAGCCACTCAAGGTGGCTCTATTTCTCTGAACAAAAGAGCCAGCCAGAGACACCCTGCTTGGCAAAGGACTGCTTAGCAGTTGCCTTAAATATCTCACACAGTCATAATGAGGACTGTGATGTCACACCCCCGAGATTTCCTCTAGGACTCAGGCCAACTGCTGTGTCTACATCATTGCAATGTTTGGCTTTGTTATCTGCTCTTCTTGCTGAAGGGCGGGTGGAAAGGCCAAACCAGACAGGCACGTCTTCTTTGGAGCAACACGTCGCAGACACGGTCCCCCTTCATCCAGGAGGCCAAAGCACTGCTGGGTGAAGCATTGATTTTTTCCCCCCACTCACACAAATGGAGCTTCTGTTCCATTACTTCATGCGGATGCAAGTGACGTGAGCAAAGGGAAGGCCCTCTAGGAATGGGACTCTCTGCTAGGAAGAGGAAGCGGCATGAATAGGCTGCTTCCCATGATATTGCTGGCTTGGGCTTCAGTAGGGTGGACAAGACCCTGATGTTGGGAAAGAGTTAAGAGAAGAGGAGAAGGGGATGACAGAGGATGAGATGGTTGGGCAGTGACATCGAAGTGACCAACATGAATTTGACCCAACTCCGGGAGGCAGTGGAAGACAGGAGGGCCTGGCGTGCTCTGGTCCATGAGGCCACGAAGAGTCGGACAGGACTTAACGACTAAACAACAAGGGTGGACAACAGATGGCTGGTAGATGGAAGCACCTTTGCCTTGGCTTAGGACCCTGAGGGCCACAAAGCAAAACCAGGTGTGGGAGGAGAAGAAATAGACTCTTACAATTAAGAGGCAAGCATGCCTTTGAAAACATGGTCAATTCCAGTGTTTGCTACCCATAGCTTGTTTGACTGGGAGCAACATTCATGGACTGGAACGAGTGCCTATCTATCCAGCACTAATCAATCCTTGCTTCCAGTCTTTGATTTCAAAGTGAACCCGACTTCTCTACTGAGTGTTTTTCCCCCTCTCCTTTTTGTCTGTTGAAGGCAGCTGTTTGTTTGCTGTTGATCTGTTTGCAACTGACAAAAAGGAAACTTTCTTCTGAAAATGTCTCAGAGTGAATTATAGAGACTTTAAGTGCCCCTTAATGAGAAAGGAATAGAATCTCATGAACGTGTAGGTATTCTCCTCTATGGAATTGATTATCCATAGGGTCCCTTCTAGCTCTGCAGTTCCAAGATAATGATGGTGATGATGATTAAATTAATATTTCACATTATCTCATCAGAGAGCAATCCACTATTGGCTTTCCCTCAAAGCGGCCTTCCACCTCTACTTCTGCAATCCAGTTTAAAAATAGGGTT